TACGACGGCGAGAGGGAGCACGCCTTCAAAGACAAATGTGCTTGTTCTTCTGGGGTCTACTACTTTTTTTATCGGAAGTCAGACCATTGATATAAATTCCGTTTTCCATTTTCTTTAACTGGTGTACAAAATTCACTGGCAAAGAAAGATGTGAAAACGGAGATTGAAAGTCAAACAAGGGATGACGATTTCGTTCAACTCACAGACCTATCCCTTCTAACAAACAATGGCGAAAAGATCTCGTACCTCCTCTGCAAAGACCCCCAGACTCCTCAGCCCAATTCTGTCGCTCATCCTCAGCCGTCCACTTACGAGAGTCAGACTGCTATATGAGGAAACGGTGAACGTAGTACCAGTGTCAGTTTCAGTGACCATAACCGAGCCAGAAGTTCTGGATTATCCCATTTGCTTTGAACCTTTAAGCCCTCCAGTATATGAGGTTGTACTTGCTAAACGTAGCACGAGTTAAAGTAGTAGTTGAGTCGATGTAAAGCAGTTGAGTCGATATAAAATTGCGACATACATACGTCACATAGCATTCGCCGAATTGGTGCATAATTTATATTATATAAATTTTGTTCGAAGTAAAGTAGTTGAGTCGATGTAAAATTGCGACATACATACGCCGCATATTATTCGCAGAATTGGTGCATAATTAATTATAATATTTATTTTTTGAAAAGTTCTTTGTCTGTGAATTAAATATAAATTTAACACTACGTCATATATTATTCGCAGAATTGGTGCATAATTAATCATAATATTTATTTTTTAGAAAGTTCTTTGTCTGTGAATTAAATATAAATTTAAGACTACGTCGCATATCATTCGCAGAATTGGTGCATAATTAATTATAATATTTATTTTTTGGAAATTTCTTTGTCTGTGAATTAAATATAAATTGAAGAATACTATTAGATGAATGAACCTGCGATTATTACGTCGAAACAATTCCGCATAAAAACCTCAAAACACTCGTAGTATACGAATAAAATATAGTTTTTTATGTTTATTTTTGTAAATTTTCTATTATGCGACATACGAAATTGTGACATACGAACGTCGCATATTAGTCCCCGAGTTGGTAAATAATTAATTATATAAAATTAATTTTTAAAAGTTTTTGGTCTGTAACTAAATTACTAATAAATTGAAGACTACTACTATTAGGTCAACGAACCTGCGATTATTACTCGAAACAATTCCGCATAAAAATCGCCTAACACTAGTACAATAACGACTAACATATATTTTTTTATGTTTGTTTTTGTAAATTTTTTATTCTGCGACGTACAAAATTGCGACATACAAACGTCGCATATTTTTTGAAGAGTTGGTAAATAATAATTTATGGAAAATTCTTGTTCTTTGACTAAATTAATAAATTAAAAAAAACTATTAGGTGAAAAAAAGCGTTGCGTAACACTATTCGAAATGTGTTCTCATATTGATACATTTATGCGAGTTTTATATGGATATGCGATTCATAAATATGAAAAAACATTACGCATAATCGATAGTTATCTAAGCCTTATAGATTTGGATATGCGAATCGTAATGCGAACATATGCCGCATAGTCGCATACTCATAAATGATGCAGTTTGGACATGCGATAATCTAATTACGCGACAGTTTTTCACATATCCTAAATGATGATGCGGTTGATCTGGCCTGGATATGTGATTAAAAAATTTAAATTACTTTTATTTATTTTTTTCATTACGTTATGCGATTATCGCACTTTGTTCACAGTTCTGCGAATTTCCTTTCAATAATATTTTCCCTTCGAATATTGTCGCTGATTTTGCTGGGATAACTCTGTTCACGGACACTAATATTTTAATTGTCAATGCAACATATTGTTTTGTTTTGACATATGGATCATGATTAAATAAACACGTACTTGATAGAAGAAAAAAATATTTATTATTACTGCAGTCAGTCCAACAAAATAAGCCAAACAACTTTTGATTACATGTCCAGTGGATTCTAAGGGTTGAGATCGATGACTTCCACATTTGGTGGTGGCTGATGAATCCGATCATCACCGTCATCGTCTATTTCTTCCCCCCAGATTCGATCGTCAACCGAAGCACCAAGCCCACCCTCCAAGTCTATCGCCACTGCGTTGCGCTCGGTAAAACCTCTTAACAAATACGCTCTTTGTGTATGTCTGCCTTCTGACGACACCATTTGAAAAACACTTGGTAGCAAATACGTTCCTCCTCCTCTGTTCAGTCCATGCCACGGAAGCGGATCGCTATCTTTTCATAGGGTGAAATCCTTTCCATTTTTTTTTCGCAAACGTGCGCCTCCTTGGTTTTTTTTTTTTTTTGTTTTTTTGGCTGCGATGGAAAGATAGGGTTTTGAGAAGTGAAAGGTCGCCTCTTCAACAAAGGGAATGAAGGGCTAATAAATACATCAACTCAACAACTAAATGAAGAAGCATGCAAATCGTCATTGTTTTTTAGGTGTAAAAGCAGGCAATCAATCAACGCGGTGTGTAACTTATGCGAACAATATGCGAAGCATTTTCGATTTGGATATGCGGTGTAGACAATCAATCAATGTGCTGCGTAACGTATGCGAAGCACTTTCGATTTTGATATGCGGTGCAGACAATTAATCAATGCGGTCCATATGGATATGCGAAAAAATGGAGGATAGTCGTAAATTATGCGGCTTTCGATTTGGATATACGATTCGTTAATTATGCGGTTGAAGACTAGGCGAATCATCCCAATTGTGCGATTATTATGGGATATGATATGAGAATCGCACAATCAAGCCAATTGTGCGATTATTATGAGACATGTTATGCGAATCGCGCAATCAACTCAATTGTGCGATTATTATGGGACATGTGTGCAGGTCAACCCAATTCCGATTTCGACAATTGTACTTGGATTACAAACATTTGCTTCTCATTGACCTCTTTGTCTTCTTTGCCTGAATCATCATTGTGCGTGTTGGTTTGGTCATCATTATTGTCATCGTCACGAGAATGACCTGGTTGGTTCTAACAACCCGCGGTTTGATCATCAGCGCCCCGAGGATATCCAGTATGTGTAAATGAACTAGGGCCTGCTTGATGTGAATATGGGGCCTCGTGGGAAAATGCAGAACTACCAACACCAAAAGCACTCGGAAATACACCTTGGGACGCCATCATTTGCGTGAAGCTTTGTTGCGCCGTCCCCGGAATCCCTACATTTACTCGCTTCTCCAACTCCACGTAAATGTTGGGAGTTCTTTGTTCTTCAATCAGTTCTAAGATATCCTCACTGGATTCGATTTTCATCTTCACAACTCGTTCCCTTCCATCAAATACTGCCCACAATATGTACTCAAAATTACAAAGATCGGCCTTCAATAATGCTTGAGCACGAGAAACTACTTCAGAATATATTTGTCGGCCGTAATTTATTCTCATCAGCTCTGCCACTCCACCAAGATATGAACCCTCGCAAAACGAACCACCAAAGTGCACCAATACTCTAACACGGTTGCTAGCCATTCAAATAAGTGAACAACAAAAAGAATTAAAAAAAAAAAAGAAACAGAAAAATGCAGTAGATGAATGGTGCAGACGTTAAATTGTTAGAGATCACTGTTTTTTTGCCTGCATGATAAATGCAGAGACCAAATCTTGTGAAAAAGTAGTCAATTAATGAGGTGCGCAACTTATGCGAAAGATCTGCGTACGAATTCCGAATAGCCGTAAAATTGCCAGGTCGATATGGCCATGCGAAAAAATGGCGCATAATCGTCAAAAAAATTATGCTTTATACGATTTGGCTATGCAATTCTTAAATATGCGAGGGAAAAAATATCGCATAATTATCAATTATCCGGAGGATATATGCGAAACTTTATTGCATATTACGAAATTATGCGATTGACTTGGATATGCAATTACCAGAAAATGCGTATTCAACAAATTATGCGAATTACATGCGAAATATTTTGCAGTCATAAATTTGCAAGGTTGATATAGCCCTGCGAAAAGAAGGCGCATAATCATCGTATATTATGCTGCATTCGATTTGTATATGCGATTATTAAAAATGCGAAATATGTTCACATATTTGTAAATTATGCGTTTGATGTGGAGATGCGATTAAAAAAATGCGAAATGTTTACGCATAGTCATAAATTATGCGGCCAATTGGATATGCTCTGGTTCATTTGGACATGCGAGTGTAATATCGCATAGCATTTCGTGAATTTTGGGGTGTAAAAGAAGTTATTTGGCGGGGTGGTGTGTAAAAGAAAGAATAGATATATAACGGGGTGAAAAAGATTTTGACCCATATATATATGTATATATATGTATATATATGTATATATATGTATATATATATATATATATATATATATATATTTGTAATAAATTAAAAAAAATGTGTTACTTAAATATCTAAACAATTTAAAAATTTAAATGTTTAAACTAATTGATATGAAAATTTATAAACCTCTATTTTATTTAAATATGTAATTCTATTTAAAATAATTTTAAATGTAGCAAAATTTATTTAGAAAATCGTATTGATCTTATCAGTTCAACCGACTTGTGTTGACAGATTCAATAACAAATATTTTATTCAAGCGAAGTAGACTAATTATAAACCGGTTCTCGGTTCATCCGTCAGACTATGTCCATCACGGTTTAATTTAAAAACGATGAGTAAATCTTGATTAATTTATTTGTATATTTTGATTTATAACACAATCGTAATATTGTTTTACCGTGCATCGCATGGGCCACACACTGACAAATAATTTCAAAATAAAGTAAACAATATTTTTTGGCAAGAAACAATTACGACAGTTAAAAAGAAAAAAAAAAATTAAAAAAACTTTAAAATATCAATTAAATACTAGTGCACAAGCAAATTTGAGGTTCAAAGTTCAAACATAGACCGTGTATTGGCAAATTTCAACCTCAAAAAACACCAGACAAGCATTTCCCAATCAGCACCACGAGTATTTTTCAATCATGAATCCAGAATCGAAACCAAAATCGTCCGACGAAAAGCCGAATGAACTGAAATTCGACGCCACCACCTCCGCCGGAGCCGAAGTTAGTCAACACGGTGGATATGCCCCATATCCGAAGCTCCAACCGGATGATGTCGTGCCGGTCGCCGATACTTGGAGCCCCGCTTCATCGGCACCGATCACCGGGGACCCTCCGCGCTCTACGATTTCTGATCAGATCCCAGGCTATACTAGCGCCACCACCATGCCGCCAGAGTCTAATCCCTATGTCTCCGCGGGTCCAGCTCCACCTTCTTCCATGAAAAGTACGATTCCTTTGTTCTTTTTTT